GTTCATTTTATTAAATTCATATAAAGTATTGACCCAAAATAAAATAATGTAAACAATTAGAATATATCAATGTTCCTAGTTACTGATTTAGATCATTCAATTTCTTTTTTTTTTAAAGGTTCTTTTTTTTTAAGATTTATTTATTTATTAGATATACAATATTCTGTCTGCATGTATCCCTGTGGGCCAGAAGAGGGCACCAGACCTCATTACAGATGGTTGTGAGCCACCATGTGGTTGCTGGGAATTGAACTCAGGACCTCTGGAAGAGCAGCCAGTGCTCCTATCCTCTGAGCCATCTCTCCAGCCCAGATCATTCAATTTCTATTTCTTATTAAATTCAAACAGCATAAAATTGATGCATATTGTTTTTATTACATCATTGGGCCTTTTCATGAAGGCATTGTGTCATTTGCTATCAATTGCCTCAAATGTACTAATGTTCTTACACGACAAGATATAAATAATTGTTCTGCTTCAAAAGAGTTATTTTGTGCCTTGTTTTGTTATTTGGAGACATATGTTGGGTGAGTTTGAGTACAAATGAAAACTGAATTCAATGTATAAGTTTACACTTAATTTGCAAACTTTCTCGTCTCACTAATTTGTTTGGTTTTTCATTTTCCCTATTAGTACTAATTTGTCAAATTTGTAGTATGTTTTTAAACTATAACATATGAACTCAAGGCCCAAGGTAAAATTATTATTGAATTCAAACAACATAAAATTGATGCAAAACTGATTTTATTTCAGCATTGGGCCTTTTCATTAAAGTATTATGTCCTTTGGTATCAATTGCCTCAAATATACTACTTTTTTTTACAAGACAAGATTTAAATAATTTTTCAAAAGATTGATTTTGTGTCATGACATTGGGACATACGTTGGGTGACTTTGAGGACATATGGAAACTGAATTCAGTATATAATTTTACCCTTAGTTTGTGAACCTTTTCATCTCACTAATTTGTTTTTTTTTTCATTTTTCCTATTTATAATAATTTGTCAATTTATAGTATTTTTTAAAACTATAACATATAAGCTCAAGGCCAAAGATAAAATTAGATGTATCAACTGTAAAAAAGCTACAGTTCTCTGGGCCCCTCCTTTGTGACTGGATCAGGATGTCTTCATAAGTAGAATGACCATAGCTCCTCACAGGGCTGTAGACATGAGTCATGAGTCATCTGCTCAGAACTGAAGGCTTAGGACCCAGGCAAGCATCAAAAGAAACCCAGGGGCACTCACAGTTCCATTTCAGTGACCCTGCAGGAAATCAGCTGATGGATCTCAGCCTTCATAATGCTTCCCAGAAACATCTCAAGAACAGTAGGCACAGCCACTGCAAATGTAAGGCATTGAATGGACCCTCAGTGTAACTGTTCTCGGGTGGTGACTAACTGGCATGCAGGAACAAGCTGCTTACTGGAAGGAAAGGAAGCTCCAACCTGACCCATGCTATTATTTTTAAGATTTGATCAGTTTTCATTCTTTATTGCAAGAATATATGATCATTTTATTCCGTGGAAATGCAATAATATTGCCTATAGACCGATTGCAGCATGGCGAAGGCTTGGGTGCTGTGTTTATTATTCTGATTTTCTGAGTTCTCTTCTGTGTAAATGCTGTGAACATATCTATCCATTTTCTATCTCTGCAGAATTTTTATCAGCTCCAGAGAAGCTCATCTCTGGGATCCTGGCATCGTCTTTTTGGCCTTACTGTTTACCTTGGTGATAAAGACCAGAGTTGTCTCTCCATGTAAGCATGCTTTTGAGAAATTATAAAGGAGCTTTCCTCTGTAACG